AATAAATAACCCATTAAAATTAATTACCAATGCTCTTAAGATTTGTGCTGCATCGTCTTCATCATCATTTTTAGAAAATTTTTTAGATAATATAAATACTACACTGGCGATATCAAGCCTAACTTTCTCAAGACTTTGACGTGAAGTTGTTGACCTGTGAAATATACAAGGTAATTGATTGGTTGATTTAATTACTTAATGAATTAATTTAATAATTATTATTCTATTTTCTCAATTATCTCATTTACCCTTTGACATATTGTACTCTGGTGGTAAACGCAGGATCTTCTAACAATAATGCAATATCATCTTCTGGCTATGAGATAAATAAATTGGTAGATAGAGTTAGTTGGTTTACTTTTTTTCCAATACAATTCTTCATGCTTCATTCTTTTCCATATAATTTTCTAATCTCCAAATTTTTCTTCCTTCCTTCATGCAAAGAACACACAATATGTAAAGATCGACCAAGACCCGATACCATATCCTCGAATTTATCAAAATGCAGACTTAATTATTGCTTGTATTATTTTAGTTCAATATATTCCTCACATTTGGCTTGCAGATGAACCTCTACAAAGTTTTATCAGTGTTTATTCAGTGCTTACTTGGCTATCAGTGTTTCCAGTGATTGCAGCCTCTATTATAACAATATTTGATGATGAAATTGACAATACTTATATGGGAGCTGGAATTTTGGTAGATAATTTATTTGAGAAAAAAATTTAAATTTTAGATAATAATAATAATTATAAACCATTTTATTATTTATTATCATTATTCTTATTATTAGGTTTATATTTATCCAGTGAGGTTTATTAGACTTCATTGGTCTGTGTCATTATTTTTTATCCCCGTTAAAAGTTCATTATTCAATCTAGATACAGTTACAAGGAAGGCTGCACAATTAAGTAAGTTGTTGTTCTTGTCCCTTTCATATTTAAAAAAAATCCATACAAGATAAAATTCAAAAATTTTCTTTTCGCCCAAATAACAAACAACAACAACATTTTAGTGACCACTATTTTATTTACATTTCTTACGATAACTGCATTCATTCATATTGTAACTTATAAACAGTATGGACATCATGATAATGTTGAACATTTGAGTTTTATGGATACCTTTTTTTTTACAGTTGGTAAATAAATTCTGAAAACAAATAATTGTTTTATTCATCTATTATTAGTTAATCAATCATCAATCAAATTTACCAATTAATATTTTTTTTTCATATTAGTGAGCTGGTAAATAATTATAAAGTTAATATCTCTCAGAC